ATTCCCCACCACCCCCAACCGCGACCGAAACTCGATAAGCTGCTTTCTGTGGCCGGCTGTTGTTAATCTTAACACAACATTTAACTCAGCCTTGTGGCTATCTTCGTGCGACCAGGGCAGCCACCCACCACCCACTTTTAGCCACCCACCGGGAGTGCAACATGGGCAAGGCCACGTGTGGCACATTAGACTCGTCGCCAAGCACGCGGCGCATTTGCTGTGCTTTCGGGTAACTTTTGCGTAGCTGCGATGCAATTGACTTGAACTAATCCAAATATTATCGCCAACAAAAGGGGCGAGCGGAAAACTGGGGGATGTGGCAACAATTGCGATTGTCGCATGCCAACATCATTAAAAACTGTTTTGATTAATAACCAGAACGCAGGAGCACGCGTCGGTGCTTGTCTTTTGATCAGCACTTTTATGTCGTACCTCCTGCCCTTTATTTTCAGTAAATATTTGCAAAATGCGGAACTCAAAATGTAGCTCTCTGAAGATTTGGTAATTCACCGGGGAGTTATAAAGAAGAAACGGAGAAATTTGTTTACCCCGGCGAAGAATTGTTCGTGTTTGCCTGCAAATTGTACAATGAGCAGCCGATGATATCAGCCTTGTACCTTTTTATAGGGGTAAGATATGCTAAGTAAACGAACGTGTCCGAGGAAATAGTTCCCGGAACAGATGGTAAATTTGACGGCTATCGGGGTTATCTGAGGCGGAGTACGAGCAGTGGAAAGTGGGTCTTTCAAACACGATAGCCACATTACAATTAGCTAATCCGAAAGTTCTGATCGAGTCAGATGCCACTATCCGCAGCTTGTTTTATTAGCCATCCAAGTTGGTGCTTAAAGAGATTCATCTCACCCAAGCTTGTTTTACATGCAGCATTTCCATTTCCATTTCCATTGGCGCCTCTGTTTATGTTAAACTCAGCTGCTGCCCAAAATGCGATCCATAAAGAGATACATTTTACAATTTGTTGTGTCGGTGTCGCTGGTGGATATCTACGACCTCTTGACGAATGCATCGAAGAGCGCCACTCAAATGAAAATCGCAGAGCCATCAGGTTATTGGGGCTAAGTGAAAGTAAATTTTCGGTATTTTTATGGCCTCCATTGGGCTGGAGACAGATGCCATTAATGTTGCATTCCATCTCTTCTCCGGCTGGAGTGTTGAAAGCTCTTTTGTCCGTCGCCCTGGCCACTTCACACCGAATTGCTTAATCACAGTGGTTCTCTAGTGTGCATATCGCATATACATCGGGTATATGGGGTATATGCTGGGTATATATTGGGCGTATGTCGCATAGCCACATTCTTGGTGTGGTCGAAGCGCAGTGGCTTGACAAAGGCGATTAAAATAATTGGCCAGCGACGAGTCTTCGATTCTGGTTCGTGGTAAAAGCCATTCCGAGCTGATTTATCGCATTATAAATTTGTGCGCATGCCTAAGAAGCTAAGATTTTGAAATTTTAGAAAGTTGTCCCCGTCCCCACCTTCCGAGTTCTCCGCACTTGGATACTTTATTGGCTACTACGCGTCCATAAATTATGCCTAATGAGCCGGCTAGACGTCGAAGACAACAAAAGACTTGGTTCCCCGGGTGGGGCCCTTTAAATACATAACTCGCAGTGTTCTGGGATGGGGAAGTGGTGTGAAATTGTAATTGGATTGGAATGCGCAATGAGGCGGAAATGTAATGCAAAATGTTGAAACAAATGGATCTTGTTTGTCAATTAAAGTGTGACCATAAAACATGTCACAGTGATGTATGCCCAAAGTGGATTTCATAATCCCCGGCACACTCAGAATTACACGAGTCTTATACTTTTACGAGCGGCTGATTCAATTGGAATCCGGTCGTTAATGAAGTCAGCGATCTTCCTGATGGATGTAAATTCTGAGCATACATTCAGGAGGTATAGCTAATTATATAGAGAACTAATTATATGCAGGAAGTAACAACCCATCAATCCAGGGATACATCATTACCAACTATACAAGCCCATTAGTAACGAATCTGCTCTATCAACCAACAGCCTAACTGAATGCAGGTCCAGCTAAGGAGCTGATAAGGACAAACCCTAGACCTTCCAATAGATCACTACACACATCACCTCTCCTATCAGCATCACCATCATCATTGCCCGGGGTCGATTGGTGTGTTCTGGGTAAAAAGGAACCCTTTTTTAGCCAACTGGCCCAAAAACTAAGAGTGGGGCTGGGGATGGCGACAGCTATAATTCAAATGGGAGCAGCATTACTCAAAGCGAGTTGAGTGTGCGGCTGACAGTCGGCGGAGCTAACGAATGGAACCCGGCTTCTTCCTTGGTTTTGATTCATGGTCCGGCCCTCCCCTGCCTCCCCTGCCGCACCAGCTCTTGGCCAGGTCTAATCGCCTTGGCGACACCTATTTTCGTAGGCGCGACCCCCCCGCCCACTATCCACTCGATTTGGACCCCAAGTCGCACTCACATCCGTGCGTGTGAGCATCATCAGTTGGCAGACCGTAACTAAAATGAGACGCCAAACAAAAAGCAATTACGTGTGCTGCTGCCTGCCCCTTGACTCATTGTATATGGTTTACTCAGTGGCATGGTAGTAGGTGGAGCGGATTCGGGGCTACCAGCCCCGAATAAAATTCCTTATCGCCATGGAATACTACTTGGAAGAGGGCTATTCTCGGGATGGTGGCGTGAGCAGTGATGGGTGGAAGCTATTTGCAACAGAGATATGTACTTCATCTTCACTTTTAACGCTACTTAAGCTTGGTTCCATAACTAGTAACTAGTAACTAATAACTAGTAACTAGTAACTTTTGGTAAAAGGTTCGTGACTCTGTGCCATCCCTAATCTCGGGATGGTGGCGTGAGCAGTGATGGGTGGAATCTTTTTGCAACAGAGATATGTACTTCACCTTCACTTTTAACGCTACTTAAGCTTGGTTCCATAACTAGTAACTAGTAACTTTTGGTAAGAGGTTCGTGACTCTGTGCCATCCCTAACCGCGAGATGCACAGCTCAGATACGTGAACAACAGAGGTGGAAGCACCGAGAGGCCCGAGATACGTAGTCGCCGAACAAAGGGCTGCGGCAATTAATCTTCGCTTCTGAGTTTGGCTTCAAGGTGAGTTGTGTGGCATGCGCCCGAGGGCCAAGAGCCCGATGTGTTCGGGCCGCTTCCTTAACCCATTTGTGCGCGCCGTGCTCCGCGCCCCTGCTAATGATGGTGGGTTAAATGCCGTGCTGCATTCAACTTTAACTCATTGAATTATAAATTATGCCTGCCTCGATTTGTGTGAACCCATTGGCGGGTGGGGCGCAGGAACTTTTGGCATTGCCCAATTGACAGCTATTTTGGGGATCCGGACGCCCTTCTCCTTCTCCGCCAGCTGTGCGCAGGCAAAAGCAGAGCATATGCAGCCAAAGCCACGACCTGGGTAATTTGCTTTATGATCCTAGCTTGGCCTGGAGTTGGCTCCCCGGGCCGATTGCCAAATCCAGGACCCAGGATGTCCGAGAACGTGTGAAAAATCCAGTCAGGCGTAAGTGCGCACGGCATCATTTTTGGGATAGGGACTCGGGGTTCAGGTTCGATTCGGATTGGGATTGGGACTGGGTTCGGCGCACGTGGAAAATATGCTCCTGTTTCGGGCTCGACCGGCATGCAAAAGGATCGAGTGGAGTTCAGTGGAGTTCAGTGGAGTGTAAGGCATGGACACACACAGCAAATCACCTGGAAGTAATACCCATCGGTGGTATCTGCCGAAAACAATGACAGCCTTTTCTGCAATTTATTGATTCTGTCTGACATTGAAACTGGAGCTGCTGATGTCTGCATTTGCTCGGGTCGTCATGGCGAGGACTAAACGGCAGTTTGATTAATGTTTAGGCGGTTCTGGACTGGCCAAGTCAGAACAGTCAGAAGGTAAAAGGAATGATGAAACGCATGAAGCCTTTGTGTAGCATCTCTGTTTAAATTGTGTACTTCAATTTCGGCTGCTTTTTAATAACCCATATGAGAACTCGAAGTTTTTGAGCCCATAGAACATTCTTTCCACATGGACTCAAATGCAACCGCAGGCGAAACTGTCGACTCTAAGATGACCCACATACGAGTTTTACCCAGACTTGGAGACGTATCCCATCCCATCTCACACTTCTGGGGGCTCTTCTTTTGTCTTCGGTCTCATTTTCCACAGCCTCTTGGCTTTTTCCGTTGTTATCTTAAGTGCACTTTTGAAGTGTTTTATTTATTGCACGACTTTTTCCCCTCGCCGGAGTTTCCCTGCCTCCCAAAAGCGGAAAGTGTTTCATAACTCGCAGCCGGGGCTTGACTCCAATTCGGATTCGGATTCGTATTCCCATTTCCATTTCCATTTCTATTTCCCCTGCCCAGACTCAGGTCCAATTCCTCACTTGGACTGGACCACACGTCGACATGGTCGCCAAGTGTCTCCCTGGCTGGATATGATGGTATCATCTCGATTGAATCCAGGGGCGCTGGTCGCCGCGTTATGTGTGTGGCTTTTATGGGTTGGCCATAAAAAACTGAAAAAACCTAACAAAATACGTTTTTCTTTGTTATTTATATTTGTTACAGTTCGAGCGCATCTCTGGGACTTTTCCTCCACTTTTTTATATCAGGGCGCTGGCTCTAATTGCATAGAACTGCGACGCCCGTTCCTATAGACAATATATGGGCATCTTCTCGTTTGGCTCTCGGATGGCTTTGTTTTGATTGCTGCTGGTCGAAACCTGGAAATAACGTTTACGATGATGCGATTCGGTCCATAAACAAGCGGACATTAGATAAGCAATCGTTTGTCTTGCTCTTCGGCGGGGAAATCGGTCAATCATCAACTGGTAGGCATTCCAATATTTAAATATAATGTGGGATCACTTAAATCAAATTCATAAATAAACGATTGGGATACAAAACGTGTGAGAAAACGCATTGGGCAATGTGGGGCAAAATATGTTATTTTATTTAAGGAGCCATCAGTTCTCTGAAAAATAAACGATTATCTGGCGAGGAATATCCATCCAGTTATTCATAATGGTATCCCATGAGCTGGTTTTATTGGTTTCCTCATTTTTAGCACTCGTGGTTTTCGCGTTGGCTTCCACATTATTTGTACGCAAACATTTTAGTTTCTCCTCCAGTTTTGGCCCTATGATTTTCTTCATTGTATTCCAGAATCCTGGAGAGATATGATTCTCGAATTTCCTCTCACAGTCCTTGAGCTGCTTCTCTTCTTCAATCAGGTTCTTTCTTAGTTGGTCTAACTCCAAGATATTCACACTATTTGTCTTAATTTCATCCAACTTATTTGGCTGGTCGTAGATCAGCGAGTCCAGCAATATAACATCCTCTTCCTCTGCAACAACCAGTACACCATATCCACGGCGTAAACATAAGCTCGTTTTTAGAATCAACAAAAAAACGAAAAGTTCTATATATTTCCTCATTATTATCATTTTTATCATTTGGCACTCAAATCAGAAATCAGACTTGATCTGTTGTTTGCGGCTCTGCGAACTGAACTAAATTGGAAGCAATCTCTATTTTATTTTTGCACCACTGAATGTTCCTTACAATCAATGTGAGCAATTGAAATGATTATAAAATCTAATTATAACTTGTGTGACTCAATTCCAAAGGCATGGGGCGGGTTCAGTTGTGAAGAAATTGAAAACATCCTTAGCATTTTCCTATCTACATATGTATATGAAAACTGGAATAATTTTTCAGTTGCTTAGGCATTTATTTTCCCAATGATAGGCGGCCACCTTAGTTGCTTATCAGCATTAATCACTCTTTGTTTATACTTCAATTTTGCTTCGGGTTCTAATGGTTCATTTCAATTGGAATTTGATGCTAGATGTACGCCGAGAGTTGAAACATGAGCCGCCAGGCATTTCGAAAGAATACGAGGTTTAATTTTCTTTTTTTATTATTTCAAAGTGCAGTTGCTTATCTCGCAGCCTGATAACCTTCACAAGTCTGGGCGCAGAACAAAGAATAATAGAGAGTGAAATTGTAATATTTCCCCATTTCGATTTCCATTTCGGTTTCGGTTTCGAGGCCCGCACTTCAAGTAACCCTCTGGATGAATCCCGGTCCCTTGTTCGATTCCCACAACTCGAGAACTGGAGGCAATTTGCAAAATGTGTTGAGAATCTTTCGGGTGATTAGAGCCCGACACCGGGACTCGAATGTCACTGCCAGCCAATTGATTGATATTCGACCCGCGGAGGGAGCGCACTAGATATTTACCAAAGTGATAACCTTGGTTCTGGGCCGGATTATGTTGTGATCCGATCGACGTGTGCGCTCAGTTTTCCCATCACGTGCCACACGCGACCTTGGCTTTATCCTGCGACAGTTTCTGCAACATGCGGCAACCTCTTCAATTTCGGTGGAAAGTGTCGCAAGTTCGAGGGGGAGAGTTCCGGGGTACGGAGGGTTAGACTCCGGATTTGGCGGCTCTTCAAAGTAGCTGCAGCATTTTCCTGGCAAGCGAAAATGCGCCAGAGTCTCGCAAATCCTCTCGCCTGTCTGCGGCTGCCGTTCCCCATGTTCCCCACTTTTCCCGGGTTTTCCCTTTTCAACTGCGTTTTTTCTTTGGCATCCTGCACTGCCTATGCGGCAATAAACCAAATTAAATTCACAAATTAGCCTGCTGCAGTGGCACTCGGTCTGCAAACTTATGATTTTCCATGATTTATATTCTGTTATATCCATTAAACCATTTACAATTAGTAATAGCAACTTGAAACTATAGCTACACAAATATTAACCCCTGAGTTTTCATTCCTCTGGCCGAAAGTATCTACCCCGACCAATATTGTGGAAAACAATCACAGTTTCTGCAAAACAAATTCTTAACGCAAAACCAATAAACAATTACGCATCCATGATCACCTATGTGGCACGCCATTGTCATTGTCATCCCCTGGCCACTCGATTTCCACCCGCTTTTGCACCACCCGACGACCACTTTTCCCGAGGACCCTTGGCCAGTTTCCACTGCGGAAAGCCGGCAATCAGTGGCCATTGAATTGCATTCCCGTTGCCGGATTTATGCGCCATTATTTCGCGTAATCCATGTGAAATAGGGGCACTGGACATGCGGCTGCAGTTCATTTTGGGAACACTTTTGAGCCATCGCGGCACTCGAGCGAAAATGTGGCAAGAGTGGTGCGCAAGCGTGAGGGCCGGAACCAGAAATGGAACGGGATCGCATTAGCCGGATGTCCGCTATGGTGGCCAGCTGCCTCTGGTGGCCATGTATCCTGATTTTCCACCCCCTCAGAGGCCAAATGAAATTCGCAGGCCATCCGAATGGTATTTGTACATGCAATTTTCGATCTTTGGAGTGCCGTGCAAATTGGCGGGGGTAAAAATGTTTGACAACTTGATCACCGGCCGTCCGAACAACAAAGTTGTGGCATTCTTCGCCCGGCCACGCCCCCACGCCGCAGTCCGCCCCTGCACCTAGCTGCAAATCACTCAGCCCGAAAGTCAAGTCAAGTCGAGTCGAGTCAAAGAGTCGAGAGCATGGCATAAATGTTTAACAACCGAACTGCACTTTAATTGCCAGCCGGGGCGGAGCAAAAACAGTGTTTATTTTCCTGCAGTGGAAATGACAGGCGATGCCGGCGGAAGAGGAATGGCAAAAATAAAATGTGACCCAAACAATCTGGCAGATAGGCTCGTAAAACGAGCGGTGCCAACTGAAAGACAAAAAATAAGCTGGAAAATAAGACGAAAGGTTTTCTGCGGTCGAAAACTGAAAACCGAAACGCAAAAACAAATTATGAAGTAAACAAAGCCCGCTACATGTCGCCATACAGGGCCCCCTCGTTACAGTGTCCCCCGCCTAACAGGCAATTAATCAGCTTGCATGCTGAAAAGAGTCGAGATTGCAGCTATTCAGCTACATGGTGTCGTTTGTGCTACAAGCCATGGGGCAAAACAGTCATTATCCTTAATGGCAGGCTGGCGTTGGAGGATTGGCAAGGTGGGGCTACTGTGCATAATCCTGCTTATCACTTCAATCCAACAGTTATATAATCATATCAGCGAATAAATTGTACATTAGCGCAACATTGATAGATTGAAAGCCAGACGCGGCTGACGTTTTCCCATAGTTCCGACCCACTGTGCGCAAGCTGCCCCGCTTTTGGTGCCCCCTGCAAACATGGGACGCCTGAGTGGAGAGATGCAACATGTGTTCCGGGAACGAGCCGCGTGCCGCTTAATACACGGTATGCTATAAATTTTATTGTTGTGTGCGTGTTCTGCCGTAGTTCCCGGATTCAGTGCCCAGTACTCAGATCGCAAGTTGCCAGTGTTTGTATAAGTTGCATGCATCAGGCCTTTCCGGCCTTCTTTGAAGCGCCTCACCACATCCAGAACCTCCAAAGAGCAACCAGCGGAGCAGTCAAAGGGCAACCGATCGTAAAGCAGCTGACATTTATGATGGATATCCATGTACGCAGATATGGATATATGGATGCAGCGGATGGAATGGAACTCTTTTCTGGAGTCTTCGAGGGCCGAGAATGCTGCGCCATTTGGGACTATTTGTCGCCGACTTGGATGGCAGTTGTGCTGGTTCATCTGGCATCTCAGTGCCGTGGTGTTCCAGTTCATGTTGATGTTGTGTCGCCCACACAAACTCGCAATTACGATGTTTATTCTCGGCGACAAGGGCTGAATGCATGCTAGAAATAAAAACACGCCAAAGGAGCTCGGCAGCAGCATCATTATTATCATCATCCTTTTGTCATCGCATGCAAACATCCCGACATGGCTCTCAAATTGTAAGAATCAAACGGCAAATAATGCAGACAACTACATAATGACAACGGAAAACACAAAACTTAGAAGCACTAACCAGCAGTCGCCAGTATTGGCGAAGTCTAGATGGTCTTCCATCTTCCAAACCATCCATTCCTGCCATTCCTTGGTTAGAATTAATTGAAAAGCCGTCAACAGATATGCGGAGAAATGTATCTTTTTTAGGCACCTCTAGTGATTTCCCAGAAAGTGCGGGTCTTAACGGGAACTGAATATTGAAGGGTATTCAGTATTTTAGGACATCCCATCTAAGGACGCCACGGAAGTCAGAACGACAATGCCTTGTGCCATTTTCCACTTGCAACTCCGCCTTTTTCTTCTTCTGTGTCAGCTGCTGGTTTTTTATTTGTGCACAAATATGCACAGAAAATGAAGAAATAATTTGAAAATTCAGCAGCACAGAATGCACATATAAACATGACAGGATTTCCTTGGATTTCCAGTTCTGGTCGTGTGGTGTGAACACAATGGCGCCAAATTATTTAATACTTCAAATGTCTGTCCCTGGATTCCACTCTTTTTATTTCATCTCTTTTTGCCTGGCCAAATGATGGCAAACATTTTGCAATTGGGCTGACTTGGCAGAATGGGGCATCGCCATTTTTTGCGAGTGCAATTTGCTCTTGCTCCCGGCTCGAGTCCAGCATTTAATGAAGCCCCATTTGGGCCGCTTTTGTCCGAGCGTAAGGCAAAATGCTTTCCCAAAATGCGGATTTTCTTCGATGATTTCTGTAATTTGTTGCACTCATATGCCGCCAGCCATCGTCGGCCGGCCGAAGTCAAAGTTGACTCTACTCCACTCTTTTTGCCCGGCAAAGTCAGCAAATTCCCGCATCATTACTAGTGAGTGCTGCAAAGTGCAACGTGCAATCGCAGCACAATTCGGCTTTAACAAGCAATTAAATCGAAATTTTCGAGGGGTTGCACTCGGAAAAGTCAATGATGGGGTTGCAGCGAGATGAATTCCAGTTGACATTGATTTATTCCAGCAATTACAATGCACGTAAATTCCATAATTATTGTCCATGTAAACAAGCAACTGCAAAAGGTGAGAACTGCGAACTGCGGCCAAATAGAAGGACTTCCAGCGAACGCGACAGCTGCCGAACAAAAAACAGAGGCATTCAGAAAGGAAGGGGTAACTAAACCCCTGGCGCCTTGCATTTGCTTGAAATAATTACTTTTCCAAAGCGAACCCAGCATCCCCTTCTGGAAAAACAGGACCACCACCCCTTTTCCGCCTGCATACATATGTCGCCTCGTTGCGATTTTAATTTTGAAATTTATGCTAACAGCAGTTTGAGAAACTGCCGCAGACAGCGGGGAAAACAAGTGGAAAATGGGGCACTCTCCAGACCTCAGATGTACCCTCTACATATATTTAGATATATTTGTATCTTTTGCGCTTCTCAGCAGTGCAAAGTGAGTGTGCAACTGATAACCCCGCCACATCCAGGACACTCGGGCAGGATAAATCGCCTGCACTAGCAACTTCGCAGGCGAAGCAGCAGGTTGCCAAGGGGTTGTCCTTGTGGGCTGGAAGGAGTGGGTGGGTCGGCGGGTTAAAGCAAATGAGGCAGCCGTATGACATTATTTGTGCAGCACTTTTGCCATTCACCACCATTCACCGCCGCCTGTACGGTACGCCCTCGATATGTCTCCGTTCGTTTTCTGCCTTT